AAGTTTCCAGCCATGTCTGAGAGGCAGCCGTGGGGCAGGGGCAGGTGAGGAGTGAGCTGTTTCGGGCCAGGCTGCTCCGGGCCTGGCCTCTGTTGCTCTGGTTCGTTCTACAGCCAGCTGCTCCGTGTCTGGTCACTGCCGCTCCCGACCCAGTTGCTCTGGACTTGGCTGTTGCTGCTACAGGCCTGGCCACACCCGATTGGGCTGCTCTGGGCCCAATTGCTCCAGGCTCGGCCGCTCCGGGCCTGGCTGCTCCCAGCCTGACAGCCGCTGCTCCGGGCCTGGCTGCACCAGACCCGGCTGCTCCGGGCCTGGCCGCACCCAGCCTGTCAGCCGCTGCTCCGGGCCTGGCTGTACCAGACCCGGCTGCTCCGGGCCTGGCCGCTCCCAGCCTGGCAGTCGCTGCTCCGGGTCTGGTCACTGCTGCTCCCGACCTAGTTGCTCTGGACTTGGCTGTTGCTGCTACAGGCCTGGCCACACCCGACCCGGCTGCTCTGGGCCCGGTTGCTCCGGGCCCGGCCGCTCCGGGCCTGGCCGCTCCCAGCCTGGCAGCCGCTGCTCCGAGCCTGGCTGCTCCCAGCCTGTCAGCCACTGCTCCGGGCCTGGCCGCACAAGACCCGGCTGCTCCGGGCCTGGCTGCTCCCAGCCTGGCAGTCGCTGCTCTGGGTCTGGTCACTGCCGCTCCCGACCTAGTTGCTCTGGACTTGGCTGTTACTGCTACAGGCCTGGCCACACCCGACCCGGCTGCTCTGGGCCCGGTTGTTCCGGGCCCGGCCGTTCTGGGCCTGGCTGCTCCCAGCCTGTCAGCCGCTGCTCCGGGCCTTATTTTTTATTTTTTAAATATATTTTATTGATTTTTCACAGAGAGGAAGAGAGAGGGATAGAGAGTTAGAAACATCGATGAGAGAGAATCATCGATCAGCTGCCTCTTGCACACCCCCTACTGGGGATGTGCCCGCAACCAAGGTACATGCCCCCGACCGGAATCGAACCCGGGACCTTTCAGTCTGCAGGCCGACGCTCTATCCACTGAGCCAAACCAGTCCCAGCTAAAATTATTTTTTAGTATTACATTTTATTTACCTTTTAAAAATCTTAAATTACTCACGTGAAAAAGAAAAACACTATTTTTGGGTGGGCCTGATTGTTAAAAAGATGTTATCCAGCTGTTCTTAAACTTAAGAGAGAAGACTAACCCTAAGTAAGACTAAGGTTTACAGTAGAGCAAAAAGGGTTTAGATTAGGTATAAATAGAATCTAATAGTAGTTTGATTTGTTTAAAATAGTACTGTTTTTCTCAGGCATATTATAAAACTTTCTTTGGATGCCTTCAAAAATTCAAAGTAGGTTTTCATCTGTGTTGGGTTAGGTAGTGTCCTGCTGCAGATGTAAGGATGATTAATTTAACATTACCTCTAATGTTCACATTACCACAAAAATTGTGCACCTACTTTTTAAGTCAGCCTGGAAATATTTATGGATTGAACTCCTCATAAAAGTAACAATTCTAGTTTTAGTTTAAAAAAATATAATTTTATTGATTTCAGAGTGGAAAGAAGAGGGAGAGAGAGACAGAAACATCAATGAAGAGAGATTCATTGATTTGCTGCCTTCCACAGGCTCCTCACTGGAGACCAAGCCTGCAACCCAACACGTGCCCTAAATGGGAGAACTGTGACTTCCTGGTTCATAAGTTGTCGCTCAACCACTGAGCCATATCAGCTGGGCAAAACTAGTTTTAAAATATCCTGTTGGTTCAGTCTTCAGAATTTCAGTGTAATTAATAAATACAGCAGGAAGCTGGCCCAGAAGTCATTGCTTAAAAATCTTCATTAAATTGACTTACTATAGCTCTAAATCTCTAATCTACATCAAAATTCTTTACAGCAACTTGCCATTATAAAGGGATTGCTTAAACTGAAGTGTTTAGTCTTTTAATGGATATCATAATGAATTCTGCATTAAAAAACCAAGCTGCTGGCAGTGGTTATCCATATGAGTATATGAGTATACAAGCTGATGAAAATGACTAATGTGCTTCTGAAACAGGATTCCTCCTATATCTTATGAGGAAATGCTGAACTTTGATTTTTTTAATTTAAAAAATATTTTTATTGATTTCAGAGAGGAAGGGAGAGGGAGCCAGAGAGATAGAAACATCAATGATGAGAGAGAATCATTGATAGGGCAGTAAGGAGGACTTCTCTGCTAAGGTGACATTTTAGCAGGCACCTGAAAAGAGGGGATATTTATAGGAAGAGAATTACTGGCAAAGGAGTGCCTCAGCTTGGAGTGCCTGAGGAAGACTAAAGAGGCCATGTAACTACTGTGGAAGAGTGCATGGTCAGTTTGAACATGGATTTATCTGACCCCAGAGCCCACATTTCAATCTCCACACTAATCTGATGGGGCAACCACAGTATTGCCTAACCTATGTGATCTTGAAGACACTCTGTATTATACTCATGGAATAGAGGAGGGCAGTAAATACTCTAGAAGTTCTATGTACAGAGTTGATAGTATGTGGGAAATCCCTGTGTTTTGCAGAGAGGTGCTTTGGAGAATGAAAGTTGGGAAAGATTGTGTACTATAAATTGGGGAAACTGGGACTGTAACTCCTCTGTTCAGAATTTTGTAGTGGTTTTCCATTGCCTTCAGAGCTTTGGAGAAGTTTAGTAATTTTCCCAAAACCCCACAGGAAATAGACCTAGTTTTGAATGATGACTAAGACTGAGTTCACAACTGCTAAGCTATGGTACTCTTCTCAGAATGTGAAATCAAGCATATGCTCATTGGTGACCTGTTACCTACAGACTGAAGTTGAGAAGCCTTGGAAAGTAATGCAGAGCCCTTTGAGTGTAGCTCCCACCTTTTTTTTGCCCTTACTTCTAATGCCCCTCCCCTGGCACTTTAGCATGGAACAAAACAGTCCTCGTTCGTGTTGTGTACTAGGAATCTGCACATACTCAAACATCCTCCTTCCTCTAGTTTTGTGATAAAGATTTTATATATTCTTTGTGGACTTTCTTTACCATTCTCCTTGCCAGATTCAGTTTTAACTTCTTCCCTTGGCTGTTTTGGGAGTTCATCCATCTGTGTACTTGCTCATATTTCCAGTAGAAATCAATCTCTAAACCTTTGCCTTCCAAGCCAGGATTAGAGCCCTCCTCTGAGCTACCAGCTACATCTGTGCCAGCATCGATCCAGACTTCTTTTGAAGGATAATTTCTCTGTTTGTGTCTTTGCCTCTTCTTCCTTTAAGTCATTGAAAGTTTAGGCCTTGTATTTATCTGTATCTCAGCCATGGGAATGGGCTTGGCTTGTAGTTTACCTGCTTATTTAAATTAAACATAGAGTCGAAACTGGTTTGGCTCAGTGGCAGAGCGTTGGTCTGCGGACTGAAGGGTCCCAGGTTCGATTCCGGTCAGGGGCATGTACATTGGTTGCGGGCATATCCCTGGTAGGGGTTGTGCAAGAGGCAGCTGGTCAATGTTTCTTTCTCATCGACGTTTCTAGCTCTCTATCTCTCTCCATTCCTCTCTGTAAAAAATCAATAAAATATATATTAAAAATAAATAAATTAAACATAGACTACTGGGTGCAGAGTTATAATGACAGTTTTGATTAGGTCTAAACAAGTAGCATATATTGAACAGTGATGTTAGTTTACTCAGAAAAAAACAATAGATGTTAATACAACTAACTCTTTAATGAAAGATTAGTATGTGTCAGACATTAAACTCAGCACTGAAGTACATCATTCCATTATTCCCAGACAAATTTGAACTTAAAAGATATATATTATTAGGTATAACTTTAAAGCTAAATTAATATCTAATTAGATCTAACTTTTAAAACCAAACTTTAAATATTCATTAATTTTCATACTAGTAGCTAACTGGATAGTAAGAGATGTTAGTAGAGTTGTGTTTTTTTTTAAATATATATTTTATTGATTTTTTACAGAGAGGAAGAGAGAGTGATAGAGAGTTAGAAACATCGATGAGAGAGAATCACCGATCAGCTGCCTCTTGCACACTCCCTACTGGGGATGTGCTCGCAACCAAGGTACATGTCCTTGACCGGAATTGAACCCGGGACCTTTCAGTCCACAGGCCGACGCTCTATCCACTGAGCCAAACCGGTTTCGGCATTAGTAGAGTTTTAAGTGTAGGAAAAAGTCCTTGGAAAGGGACAGAAGTCATCTTTGTTTCTTTATAGTCAGGTTTTGAAACGTTACTACAAATGTGTATACTTGGCTGATGTAGAGGTCTTCCGGGAAGGACACTGTGCTCATTTATAATTTAAACATGGCGTGGTGGGTGAGACAGAGGGCTGTTGGACAAGTGAGCCCAGATGAGATCCTGCACAATGCAGGCCTTCTTTCTGTTATCATAGTTAATGGTGCAGGATGTGCCATCCTTCCAACCTAAGGCCGAAAGTAGTCCTTGGTTCCTTAGCCTAATTCTTTATTTTTGTTCAATAGAAAATCTACTCATTAAGAGTTCTATTGAGTAGTTTTTTTAACAGGAATTCTCATTGCTAATTGCTCTGTGCTTTCCATACAAGTAAGTTATCTCAAATTGTTATGCTTATAATCACTGATAAATCATTTTTTGAACATGTATTAATTTTGGCTTATATAGCATTTATATATTACTGTAGCAATTTGAACTGTACTCTGAAATACTTTAAAATGCAAAATCTAAAAAAAAAAGTATCACACCTAAAAAATATCATGTAATTTCCCCCCACTTATCAAAGCATAATATAGCCTTTATTCGTCTATTTTTTGGCTTGGTTTAATCTTCCTAATTTCTCAATGTTTTGTGCTGCTTAAAATGGGTTAAATGGTCTTCATTTAATCCCATGCCTAGAATCTATCAGTAGGAAAGACTACTTTAGTGCTCAAAGAAGATATTTTAGAAATTATTTTGCTTTCAGCCTTTTCCATTAGTTGGTAGAAATTTATTCTGAAGCTCTTTGTGGTTTTATTGCAGTGATGCCGCAGCCAAAGCCCTGTGGGAAGCCTTACTGAACGCCAAGCACAAAGAGGCAGTGATGGAAGTCCGGAGACATCTAGTGGAAGCAGCAAGCAGAGAAAACCTGCCAATCAAGATGAGTATGGGTAAGTGTATCCACTTCACCCAGGACAGACAGTGACTGCAGGCTCTGAGGGAGTTCATATAAGCCTGTTCTAATCGGTGAGCCAGCTTAGCCAGCATGGCATGTAGATAAAAGTATTAAGAGTAGGGAGGGGATACGTACATACTACTCTTGGGGCTCACAATGACCCCTTTTCTTAGGCTCAATTTTCGGAATTTTAGGAGAGTCCTTGTATACAAATAATAATTCTTTTAGTGTCTTTAGTTGATCTAAAACTATCAAAATTGGTTTGGACCACCCTACCTTCATTGTGTTACACCCATACATTCCCACCTCCCCTTTTAAAAATCCTCCCTATGCGCCCCCCGTGCGACCTGCTTCAGTGCCTGCAGCCTATGAGCAGAGGCCGGGCAATGGTTCAAGGCTGCAGCTTACTCTGGCATGGGGCACATGAGAGACCTCCCTACCTTCTTTTTTTTTTTTTTTTTTTTTTTTAATATATTTTATTGATTTTGTACAGAGAGGAAGGGAGAGAGATAGAGAGCTAGAAACATCGATGAGAGAGTCATCGATCAGCTGCCTCCTGCACACCCCCCACCGGGGATATGCCCGCAACCAAGGTACATGCCCTTGACCGGAATCGAACCCAGGTCCCTTCAGTCCCCAAGCCGACGCTCTATCTACTGAGCCAAACCGGTCTCGGCAAGACCTCCCTACCTTCTTAATGTGGATGAAAACTCTTTTAGTGGTTTTGAATTAATGAATGAACTATTGTGCTGGCAAAACAGTTGAGCAGACAGACATGCTTTGGCCTGACCTCTCACCTTTAGAATGATCTGCTAATTGTCGAGTCACATAAATGTTATCCTTTCCTCACCAGGGTATTACACATCTCATTTTTCCCATTTTCATTTTTCACCACATTCAGCTTTGTCTTCAGTCTTAGAAGAATCTGGCTGAATGAAATTTAAGTTTTAAATAGTTTTTTTTTCTTTTATTTTAAATATATATTTTTATTGATTTCAGAGAGGAAGGGAAAGGGAGAGAGAGAAATAGAAACATCAATGATGAGAAAGAATCATTGATCACCTGCACGTTCCCTACTGTGAATTGAACCTGCAACCCAGGCATGTGCCCCTGACCGGAACTGAACTGGGGATCCTTTAGTCTGCAGGCCCATGCTCTATCCACTGAGCCAAACCATTGTGTATGGCATAGCTTTTTTCTTTTGATTAAAAAGTCAGAGAACTAATGTTTTTATTTTAGAAAAGGAATTTGGTGTTTTACTTTTTTTTTTTTTATTAAATAATTCTATTAATATGGGGTATAGATAGTGAATCTGGGTAATAGGTAGAATTTATTTCTGGAAACTTTATTTCTATATTTTAAAAATGTTTTCTTATAATCTGCTCTTAGATATCTAGTAGTAAATATTAGTACATTTTACTGGAAGGAATTAAAAAAAAATTTTTTTGCTGAGATTCCTAGCCCAAATTTTTAATTATTTATGAGTTTAAAAATCAAACTATCAAGTTGAAATGGAAGAACAAAATTTTGGAAATAAAGGAATGCAGATGAACCTAGATTCCTAGAAGGAAATATGAAAAAAAAAATCACGACTTCCAGTATCTTGGATGATTACTGTATTTATATGAGAGCTTTAAGGAACATAAAGATGATAATAAAAGTGAAAATAACATTTACTGAGTATTTACAATGTGTCAGGTATTCTAATTCTTTACATGTATTTATCTTATTTAATTCTCACAGTAATTCTGGTGAGATAGGTACGATTACTATTCTATTTTTCAGGTAAGGAAACTTGAATAGAGAAAAATTAAGTTGTCTAAGGCTTTCCATATCACAAAGAATAGGACTGTTATATTAAAATACAATGATCTCTCTTGCACTTTGAAAGGACAGACATGTCCTGAGACACTTGGAAAATAATGGTTCTCTAAATTATGCACATTCTCCAGATGTTGACACATATTATACAATATAACAAAACCACACTTGTTATTATCCCCATTGATATCTTTAGAAAATCTTTAAGTATTGGGAATGTAAAGATATGGGGACAAATACAAGACTCCTAGAATTATGATTTTCACACGAAAATTTGACTTTATTCATTGACAATATAAACTGTCAGTTGTTTTCCTTGAAGTGATAGACTCATTCCATTCATTTTTTTTTTTTTTTGAAAATGTGTGAAGAACCAGTTGTCCTCTAGTAAAAAATTTGTGCCATAAAATAGTGTGAACAGTTCACAATTCAGTCACACCAGTGTTTTTCCTCAAGGCAATCATTGTATTTTGGTATGCACCAGAAGTACTTTTTGTATATTTCTCATTTCTTAACACGGAATATTGACATTTGCTTAAGGGTTCAGATTTATTAAAATTAATAACACAGTTTCATCATGGCCATTCTGAAGTGAAATTGTCTATTTATTTAATTTGGTGCCACTGCCTTGATTGACACCAAGGCACCAGCACTTTGCCCACCATTGTTTTTGTACCATCAGTGCAAATACAGCAGAGTAACAAATTCAGGTAACATCTTAGTATTTCCTAATATGAAAATAGTTTTGATTTTTGTGACTCTCTAAAAGTGCCTCAGGGACCCTGGGGTCGGTGGAACATCTTTGAGAACCATTATTTAAAAGGGTGCCACAGTATCCGCAGTGGAACATTGGCAGTTTCCTGGAGATCATTGGAATCATAGTTAGATGTGAAAATAGAAGAGGGGAAACCTCATGGAAATTTTTTCTAGACATATCCAGATGTAGAAGTAATAGACAATTACTAGATCCTTGTTGTTGATAGGAAACAAAATATTATCTTGTTTGCAAATGAACAAGCTATTTAAATTTGCTGAATCTGTTTTTCTGTCTGCAAAATGGGGATTCTAGACCTTATACAATTAGATGAAATGGTTACATATATGAAACATAGTGTTTGTGAAATTTAAGGTGTTCTGTAAAAGGAGTGTATAGCCTAATGAAATTAGTTATTGCCTTCTGGGCAGATAAAACACATTATGAAAGTAATTACCAATGGTCATGTAATTGTATATAAAGCATACTCTACCAGATCTAGGGGTGGAATTACTCTCTGTAGGATTTGTTCCCTGATCATCTCAGTGGGAAATATGTGACTAGAGTAATGGTTTCCAGAAGTGAAAGTAGAGATTTGAGATTTAATTACCTTAGTGGTTATATTGAAGCTTTAATCTAAAGAAAACATAATTTCCTAAAGGAAATATAATATAAGGAATATAGAAATATTTCTAAAGGAAATATAAGATTGATCATCCAGAAAGAGAAGGTAGAGTGAGTGAGAAGAGGGGTGGAGACAGAGCCTTAAGGGATACATCCATTTTGGGTATGAAGAAGAAGATAATCTAGAGAAAGAGATAGAGTTTTTCATCGAATTAATAAATAATTATCTATGAAAGTGTTAAAGTCACTAAACAAATGATTATCTTTTATACTTTATTTCCTAAAACAGAGTTAATTACTTCTTTTCTCTTGTTCCTCATCTGCAAAATGGGAATTCTAGTGTCCCCTCTTCAAGCATCTACCTGTGGCTCTATATTTTTTTTAACTTAAATTGGTACATCTTCATTTTCTTCTTTTTCTCTCCTCTTCTTCATCCTCCTCTTCCTCTTATTAATGTTTATAATTTATGTTTTCTCAACTTAAGGGATCCTTAACATGATAATATGGGCAAGTAACTTATAAAGCCCAACAGAATGATGTGATTAGAAGGCTGTCGGCTGCAGGATGGAAGTTTCCTTATGTAGAAGCTCTCCTGAGAACAGGCATTTATTTCCAAGTCAAAGTAGACCCACCCAGGAAATGCTCCTTCTCTGGCAGCCTGGTAGTCTGGCCCCTGGATAACAGGGGTAATCCATCTATCTCTTTCCATGCTCTCTGCTGAGTGTATATACGTTAATGCAATGTCTAAGTCACTTCGGGAAGGCTCCATTTCCAAAGAAAGCCAAGCCATAAGTATTTCTGGTGGTTTTATATTTCACTGTGTTGTATAACTTTCACGGAGAGCTATATATTTTCTATTTGTGACCCCTGGGCATGTAGCAATTATACTTTATTCTGTACTATCCTGAAAACATGTCTTGCAATAGATTTCTGAACTTTGGACCCATTTGATTGAATTGATTCTTATAAATAAAATGTTCTTTTTATGTTAGTTTCTTATTCTCTCTTGGTAATACTGTAGAGATAAAAATCTGTGCTACAAGAAATGTATACTGTTTAAAGGATATCCCAGAAAACCTTCTTCAGTATTTATGGTGTTATAAAAGTGGACATCCATTCGCAGCTGGGCTTTATCCAAGTTTCACTATACAGATGGCTGTATACACTGACCTTCAAATCCTTATGGGAGAAGATTGGTAATGTCTTCCCTCTTCTTCCTTTAATAACTTGTTTCTGTGTGTATTGGTCATCCCGATCTTGAAATTTTTTTTTTCTTCTCATGTCTGACTTAAATCTTTCCACCTGCATGTTAACCAGATTTCTTTGCCCCATGGTCTCAATAGTGGTGGGAAGCAGGCAGTTATTCTTCTTCTATTGCTTTATCTGTTGAATAATAATGCTTCATCTATTGTATAAGTCAGTGATAGTAATAAACTCAAAATTTCTAGAGAAGAATACATGTCTGTTCATTCTATATGAGGCATACATGATTTTTTTTCAGAATCAAGAGAATATTTAAAAAGTAATATTAGCACATGCTACTAGAAAATTCCAGTGATAACATCTGTAAAATGAAAATTTAAAGTACCTTTCCTCCTCCGCACCATCTTGCTCTTCAGTACAATCTTTGTTTCTAAATTAGAATCTTGTTTTCCAGGTCTTTCTCTCTGTAATTAGGTAAGAAACTAGGTAACTAAACATGTACTAGTAAATAAATAATAAGAAAAAAATAAAGGCACGTTCTAATAATATGGTAATATAGTTTCTATTATAATTTGTTTTCTTTTACTCTTATG